CCAGAAGCATTTCCAAGTCTTGACCTTAAACAACGAGCTGGATTAGGACAATTTTACCTAAATAAACAAGAAAAATTGCTTCGATCAAACCTAGCTGAGCTCTTACATTTAAACAAGATGTGGCAGATTTTGTATATGAATTACAGAGTTAAAACAAACATTTTTGCCATGTACAGCCTGCTATCTAATCTTCTGATCCTGCTAAAGAACACTTAGCATGAACAGCCAATCACAGCTGAAGTAAAACTAATCTAATCCTGGCTGCAAGCCTTCATTGTTACCCTGATCAGTGACTCATTGGATTGCTCAAAATCCCTCTGACTGCAGAAGTCTTTGACATCTGTGACATGTTGAAAGCTGTCATGATAATCTGTCTTTGTGGCTGTGATTTTCCATTTCTTCCTAATCGGCCAGTTTGCATGCATTACGGACTCAAAGATTACATCTCAGAGACGTGCCTTGTTTGGTGTTGATTAGTTTGTTGAAAGACAGTTTGTGAGGACAGATGTTGATATGGGTTACCAACACCATGCTATAGGCAGATGTGATGAGTTGACCTTTCAGTCTCCTACCAAATAGCTGGGATGTTTAAAAAGTACATTTTGTACACAGGCTCACTGGAGCTTGGGCATCAGGATTTAAAGCTCCTGCGGGGAACTTTCAGGTTGTGTTGATCTTGGCCCCCGCTGTGGACATAGCTGATATTGTCCTTTGCATGCTTTAGTAGTCTTGTCTAATGAGATAGCTCATCCTGCAGTCTTTTAGCATTCAAACGAATTAATCATGCTGAATCTTCACCATGAAAAAGACCATGTCTCACATCTACCCTGCAGCAGCAGTTTCAAGCTAAAAACAACTATAAAAGTAATCAAGTATGCTTGCCAAGCATGTTGACCCATGCATCCCTCTCCCCAGCAAAGATTTATTTTGCTCCTCCATGGGGATCCTGAGACACTCCCAGACCAGAGGCGTTATATAAACCCTTCAGCGAGCTCTTTAGTTCTACCCAGAGGTTTCCTCCCAGTGGGACGGGTCTGGAAGACCTCCTAAGCGAGGTGACCAGGAGGCATCTCAATCAGATGTTCGGACCTCCTCAACTGGCTCCTTACATCTGAGCTCCTCACCATATCTCCAAGGCTGAGCCCAGACACCCTTTGGAGGAAACTGATTTCAGCTGCTTGTATTTGTTTTCTCAGTCTTTCGCTCACTAATCGTAGCTCATGACAACAGGTAAAGGTTTGAACATAGATGGAAAGTGTTGCCTTCCTGCTCAGGCACAATCCAAACCTTAGTGATGATGCTGCACCAACCAACAAGCCCCCTTGACACTTGAATAACTTCACTTGATGCAGAGCCTCACCAATCCACTGTCTTCTACCACACAACCATTGACCAGATCCTTTTTTGTCTGCAAGGCTCTTTTTTTCTAATGGAATTTGGTGACTTTGAACAAAGTGATGGAACATCTGGTTCTGTGTACAAAAAAAATAGAAAGATCTGCATCAACAAAGGGTCTGTCTCTGCTGGGATCCTATTTGTGTAATGTTGTCAGACACTTCAAATAACAACCTGAGTGTCAGTGAAAAAAGAAGTCGTTTCACCTGCAGGTATCAAATCACCACCATTATGGACTTTTTGTGGCTACTCGCTAAAGCAATCCTCTGAGATAAAATCATTTCTACCTCACAAAATGTTAGAAATGTTGCCTTAATTTAGAAAATACTGAATTCCTTATGGTATATATTTAACATTCTTAATAATGTTAGTAGAAGACTTAGTCTGGATTTTCATTTTGAATGAAGAAGCAGTCAAAAGTCAAGGTCACAGATTCCTATTCTCTGTAACAAAAATCCCACAGCACATTTATTAGAAATCTCTTCATTCTCTGTGCTTCATCTGTCATTAACTTACTTCATTTATGACATATTTTGACCTCTCCAGTGTCATTAGGGATCATCCTTTCAGCCAGACACACTGAGTTTCATGTCATTTTTACCATGCTGACGGAATAATCTGACCGTTAAGTTTAATGGGATCTCTGACTTCTACTTTTCACCAAATCTTTGCAGAGAAAAAAAACAGAAACACATGATTGTGTTTGATGAATTTGGGACTTGGTTGCCTGGTGACATGAGAGACCCCTTCAGTCTTTCAATCTGTTGGAAAAAGAACTGAAATTAGCCCCCCATAAAATGAGCCGTGACTCTGGCTGGTATTCACATTCAGTCATCATTACCCGACTACAGATTCTTTACTGGTGTTAAAGTCGTCAAAGTTATCGTCTACAGCGTGTTTCCTGCCTCAAGGGATAACACCTACATAGATACACAAAAATAAATACCTGAAAACACAAAATAAAACAGATCTCCTCCCTCTCTCCTACTGCCTTTACCTCCCCCTCTCTGTTTCTTACACCTTAAGCCAGACGAGCTCATGCCTTATTAACTGCCAGTTTAGCCTTATCATGGATAATTACCAGGACTAATCTCTGCTAATGACTACATTATAAGGTGTACAGTACATGCAAGCAGGGCACTGTGAATATGGAAGATAACCAAAGGAGGCTTAAGTTCAAGAATAACCCGGGAGATGTGGTTCAGTCTGAGCGTAGGTGTGCTGTTTAACTACGACAGAGAGGGACAGGCAGAGGGAGAGAGAGAGAGAGAGGGGTGCATACATGAGAGAAGATTGGAAGAGAAACAGGGAAAGACAATCAGGAGTGACAGTAGCAGGCGGAGTTCAGTAGTCAAAGACCGATACAGGCTGAAATTTGAAAACAAGCCGGCACAACAAATAAGGAACCATACTCAAATAACTCAGCATTCCATTGTATTTACTTGATTTATGCATGAGTTTATGTGTACATCCAAACTTAATGGCAACCTACAGCGCTGAAAAATTAAGCTAATGCGAAAGTGCAAAAAAAGAAAACAAACTGCAGTTCCTCGAGTGTCCTCCTGTGGCAGGCTGCAAAAGACCCAGAAGTCACCCCTAATAAATGTCCATTCGACAGCAGAGATGAAAAAATGCTATTAAATGTCTTTATCGGCACACGCTGTAGGTATTTAATGTTTTCATTACTCATCAGTTTTTAGTTTACAAAGGATAGGGTTGATGCATAACTGGGTGTGGTATTTATCTGACTGCTTATCTGATGCTGAAGGCTCGCCTCAGCTCCACCTCTTTGCCTGTTACTGAGATGACCAATAGTTAGGTTTAGGCAGCATTTCCAATATGGTGATTGTCATCGTTTGGCTTCAAAAATATGCTTCAGAAACTAACTAGTGACATGACTACATCCATGTATATACAGTCTATGATTCAAACCAGCTTGGATTATTTAAGAAATATATATTTTTTATTTTAACACCTCAGAGTTGTAATTTAGAACAGATTTGTTTTCTCGTTATCTTTCAAAAAGTGTGAAATCTTTCCAAAAAAACAGGAATCAATGGTTATGTGGAAGGCAGGAAATACATTATAACGGTGGTAATAATATCATTCTACAGTTTTTCACAACACAATGAAGCATGCAAAACACAAACAGAGTTCAGCCTGGACTATGAAGAGAGTGTGTCTCTGTGGTGTGTCTGAACTCGATCACTATTTAACAGATCAGGGCGTCCGTCGGGATCGAACCCGTGGCTTATCCATATCAAGACATCCTTATAGCAGCTGAGACTACAGCAGAAAACAAAGATAGAAATGTAGAGACATCCTTTTTTTTCTCTCTCAGTTACCTGTCAGAGTATGTGTGGGGGAGTGTGAGAGAGCGTGAAGAGGGCTATAATCAGGAGAGAACACACACACACACACACACGCAGAAACCTCGGCTGCTGCATACTGTTACCTTGAGGACGGCCTCTCAAAACGATGTCTGCAGTGTTCAACAAATAAAAGGAAAGCTTAAAACTATGAAAGACAAGCATAATTTACGATGCCTTTAGCACTTAATCCATTATGAATGCACACAGTGAGGCAGAGGCACACACTTTGAGCTGAGACAATACAGCTGTGTTTCATCAAAGGCTGCTCCAGACATTTGCATTAAAAGCTGCAGGCAACGTTCACTTCTCTGCGTCTCAACGTTCCCCCGGAGCCTTTTCATCTTTTTTTTTCTCATCCCTGTGCACATGTAGAGACATTTTAAAGGCGCAGTTTTTTGTACACAAAAAAAACCCCAAATAATTTGTTCTCTTTATTGATTTGTCCAAGAGTTAGAAGTTTCACACGGTGCAAATCAAGAGTTTGCTCCTCTGATGCACCCACACAACATCAACGCTCACAGACATCAGTAGAGCCAATAGAAGCGTGCCCTCGGCAACTCTGCGGCCCCCAAGTGGCTGCTCGGCGTTTGAGTCTTCAAAGTGTTGAAGGATTTCCGTACAAAATCCTGGAACTCGAGTTAACCGAGCACTCATCTGACCTAAATTTCTGGTTGAAGGATCGTGGGTTGCAGATGGAAAAAAAACAGATTCTGAGGCAGGTTGTATCAGCTGCTTTTAGACAAATTCAAATGATTGACTTTGGAGAAAAGTCATGCATTTTATTCATCTTCTGATTCATCACTTGCTGACAGGATTTCCCAGCAGCCTCTATAACTGACACTTGAAATTAATTTGTGTAATTAGGATGCATCTGCAGGCTCTCATGATTATGGACAGAATGTTCTCCTCTGATGCAGCTCATTTTTTGTATTTTGGCCTTGGCGAGGTCCAATTTCATACAATATTTAAATTCAAGATGTCCTAATTAAATCCTCCATCAAAAGTCCCCACAACTCAGGGCGCTGGTGGCGCAGTGGGTAGTGCACACGTCCCATGTATGGAGGCTGTAGTCCTCCAAGAGGGCGGTTCAAATCCAACCTGTGGCTCCTTTCCCGCATGGCGATCCCCACTTTCTCTCTCCCTGATTTCCACATCTGTCCACTGTCCTGTCTCATTCTAAAAAACCACACAACTATAGCGTGGTAACCGTTGTTTCTCCTCTCTGCTCTCCAGGTGGTGTACAAGAACAACGACTTCAAGCTTGAGCTGTCCCGTCTGGCCATTGAGCGCGACCCAAAGATAACCCTCAACGGCGACTTGGTGTTCCGCTGCGAGGACGTCGCAGCCCTGGACCCGGTCACCTTCGAGACCCCCGAGTCCTTCATCTCCCTGCCCAAGTGGAACACCAAGAAGACGGGATCCATCTCGTTCGACTTCCGCACCACAGAGCCCAGCGGCCTCCTGCTGTTCAGCCACGGGCGCCCTCAGGGACCCAAGGAGCAGAAGCCCGGCAGGGAGCTGAAGACTGATTACTTTGCCATGGAGCTGCTGGACGGGTATTTGTACCTGCTGATTGATATGGGCTCTGGGAAAACAAAGCTGAAGGCCAGCAACAAGAAGGTCAATGATGGGGAATGGTGCCATGTGGATTTCCAGAGAGAGGGGAGGAAAGGTGAGTGCAGCTTAAACTGTTAAGACAAACAGCTGATCCTAAATGACACTGTTTATGTGCTAACTTTTTATTGCTTTGTTTTTGGATGTAATTCAAACTCACCATCAAAATAGTTATATAAAAAAAAGATCCAGATTGTTGTCATTCACAATTATGTCACACTACTTTACTTTACTTTTCCACCCAGAAACATTTAGAAGGTGTGAAAATCAGTATTTGTGGGGCACTGGTAACATTGTGGTTAGTGCGTGTGCCCCATGTGCAGAGTAGACTGTAAGTCTGCAGCCTGGCTACTCTCTTCTGTGTGCTCTCCTCTGTGTGCATGAAGCCGAGCCCCCTGACCTTCTAATTTTCAACATAAAGCTCCGGAAATAAAAATATATGTAGTGTACATGTGATATATTACAAACATACTAGGTGCTTATATATGATGGAGGATTAGAGTCATGTTAAAATTATTATTATTTTTTTTTAATTTTGAGATTAAACTCATACATTTGCAAGAATAAAGTCGTAAATTTACGACTTTATTCTGGAGAAAAAAAAATGTACTGTGGCAAAAATAGGAAAAAATAAGCAATTTCACCATTCTATATGTATATGTGCTTTTTGAGTTATATATAAACACAGCTCAATCAGCAGCGTTGGTTCAGCTGTTGAAACAAACGTCGCTCTAACTCTCCTCTCTGCGTGACTCATTTCAACGTCTTTTCATTCATTCATTCATTCATTCATTCATTCATTTGGGCTTCTTGTAAACCTTGGGCGCGTGACTCCATTTTACACTCTTATCTTCTTTTGGCGCGGTGGTAATGTTTGAATTAATCGTAGACTGTAAATATTAATTAATGCGCGAGTTTGTAAACTGCTTCTTGACCCAGCGCACTTGCCGTTGTTAATTTCTGGAGGAGCGGGGCACCAGAGCACATGAGACGAGAGCACACAGACGAGAGCACATTGACGAGAGAGCGTCAGGATGCAGCCATACCCGACTCTGTGCAGAGGCTGTGGTCCTCAAAACAGGCGGTCCGAGTTAGAGTTCAACCTGCATGTCATTCTCTATCTCTCCCCCATGTCTGACTCTATCCACTGTCCTATCTCTAATTAAAGGCATAAAAAAAGTCCTCAAATAAAAACACATTACACATTATATTGAAAAACCTTAACCGTGCACTTAGGGGAAGAATGTGCAACAATTTACATGTACATTTAAATGTAGCAGAAATCCAGTATATCCTGTGTAAATGTGAGAAGCTCGAGTCCCGCTGGCTGTGTTGTTGTCAGAGCCGTGTTTACATGGACGGGACGGCCGGCTCCTCCCCTTGTGTATGAAAGCTGTTTTAGTCAAGAACTAGATAAAAGAATAAGGTCATTCTGTGTCAATTTACATGCAATGTGAAGCTACACGCTAACTGAAGTGTGCTAACATTAGCCTGCTAACGCAACAATAGACAAAATTGCTTGCAGTGTAATGCTGCTAACTTATGTTGCGTTCCATTTGATAACTCCTTCGAGCAGATATGAGTGGAGAGTTGTCGGAGGTGTGTGGCTGCAGGAGAGTGGAGGCTTCAGTATTTTAGTTAGTTTTGGTTTCATGCTGGTGCTCAACGGTGACATCTAGTGGATCAAAAAGTCTCACATTCTTCCTTTAATGTGTACAAGCTCTAATTAACCTTTTAAATATTTTATGAGAGCTTCTTTAGACGGCAAACTTGAAGAGGTCATTGGGTTGGAACTTCTGACATAGTGTCACAAATGATCAATCACAGAGAGGGAGCTCAGTTTGCTTTGTCTGCAACATCAAACTCTCTCTCTGCTAATCAAAACATGATGTCAGTGATACATCTAGCTGTATTTGTTAAATGTGTATATAGATCTGAAAACTAATACCATATGTCCTTATTTTGGGGGTTGAAAAGACTAATTGTAAAAACATTCAATTACATAATTTACAAGAATAAAGTACATCTCTTCATCTGGCAGCTGTGAGATTTACTGTTAATAATGCAACATAATCCTGCAGGACAAAATAAATACTTCAGTTTTGAAAATTGCTCCTGTCGATTCCTAAACTGGAAACTGTAAAACAGGCTGTTAAGGCTGCAGCACATTGATGCAGGGCAGAGGTAGCTAATCAGGGCGGCAGTAGCTCAGTCTGTAGGGACTTGGGTTGGGAACCGGAGGGTTCAAGTCCCGGTGCGGACCAAATATGGACGTTGGTCTGGTAGCTGGAGAGGTGCCAGATCACCTCCTGAGCACTGCCGAGGTGCCCTTGAGCAAGGCACCAAACCCCTCCCCACCATCAGCTCAGGAACACCCACTGTGGGCAGCTCTCCATTAGTGCATGTCCATAGGATCCTGTTTGTGCATGTGTGTGTTCATGACTTACTGTAAAAACTGAAATTTCCCCTTGCAGGGATCAATAAAAGTAAATCTTCATCTTAATCAGGAATATCCAACATCAAAGAATATGCACTATGAGCTTGTTTTCTCTAATGAGAGGCTCATTTGTTTTTAGTGACTGACAACATTACCACAAGGATTACTGCAGACTGACCTTTTTTTTAGGAGCTTTTAATGAGCAGAAGCAGCTTTTAGTCCTCCCTTCAAAGACACCAGACTCCATTAACAATCGGTCTATTTGATAAAAACACAAGAGTTGATGGTGTGCCACCGTCATGACTGATTAGTTTCTGTTATTGTGTTGAGTTTGTCCTGAGTTAAGCCTTGTCCCATAACAATTTAACATTTTTGTATTTGATCAAGGTCCATTCTGCATCAACATCTGTGTGATCTGCTCGGGAGAAAAACAGTTTTTGATAATGGGGTCTGGTGGCCATGAAGAGGAACACAGTTCTTTCTGGTTTGAAAAAGAAATATTTCACCTTCACAAACGGGTCTATATTTGTTGTGATCTTTTCTCTTATGTTATAAAACAGTGAACATACTTACATCTGTCAGTAACATACGAGTACATAGTAGGAATACTGGTCGGAATACTTCAATAAGGCAAATTCGCCTTGAAAAAAAAAGTATGTTGCAGGTCTACCTTGCAGCTGCAGGGTGTATCAAACTAGTTGAGCAATTTCTCCGTTTTTGCAATTTAAAATCTTTCACCCTGAGAATAAAGGGCCCTGACTTTTAAATATCAGAAATCACCTTCAGTGGGTTTTGTGGATGTGTGTTTCCTGTTTGTTTTGTTTCTATGTCTCTGGACTCCATGTGGGCACAAACAGAAACATCTGCAGGCCTGAGTGTGTTGTGTCTGATGAATCGTCTGTAGGTGGGCAAGCACCTTGGACATTATGTCTCCCCCTAATGACGTCTTATAATGAGGACGGGATGTGAATGAGAGACTGTGAGTTTGTGTGTCTGTGAGCGCGCACGCTTGTGATCTCATCGCCGCCGCCGTAATTGGCTTTTAATAGAAAATTAAGACAGAGTCGTTAATCACCGAAAGAGAGAGGGGGCCTTTTGTTTCACCCACTCCCTGCTGCATTCTGCTTCCCTTCTCCTCCATTTAGTCTGTTACAGACACATTATACACACACACACACACACACACACACACACACACACACACACACACACACACACACACACACACACACACAGTCGTCTATTCTCTGTGTCTTTTGTATGCCCCCCCTGTCTGTGTTCTCTGTCCCTAAATCATTCACTTACTGCCTCCCCACCCCTCAATTTACTCACCTTCCCACTCACTAAACCTCATGACCCCCCCACCAACCCCCTAACTCAACTGTTCAGACCTCACACGTCTTCAATCGATGTCAACAGTCATTAAAAACACACTTCAAAATCAATCAGAACATCGAAGGTTGATGCTCTGACATGAACAGAAATACACACCAGTGTTTACATAACTGATGTGAAACCTGTGTATCTCATCACATAAATATAAAACAGGTCTTTTAAATGTTTTATCTTACACTTTATGTGCAGCCCACATGATGATTGGTTTTTAAACACGTCTTTTAAAGCCTGGGGTTCAACATTTTGACCTGCAGGATTGTTTTTTAAACCAGAAGTGTACGGACAAAAATAGTCGTGACCTGTCATTTACAGACAGAATTACTTTAAAGTAAAACCTTAATAGGACACCAGATTATCAAACAAACAATTAACTATTGAAAGGAAAGTGTTTACCGACGTTATTTTGCACACCCCATGTACAGAGGCCTTAGTCCTTGAAGCAGGCGGCCCGAGTTCAAATCCAACCTCTGGCTCCTTTCCCGAATGTCACGTTCACGGTCAATGTCAAGGTTTCTTTATTCGTCTCCCTCGAGATAAATTTGTCTCAGGAAATTGCTGCACAGATAATACATGTGTAACCCAGGGATAAATCCCAGAGTTAAAATCAAGTAAACTAAAGTTAAAATATACATCGTAGTATAAACCCCACAGTTACTACAAAAGAAGCGATGTCACTTTAAGAAAGTAATGTTGTCATAGTTTAGTAGAAACACTAATGTTACTATAATATAAACTATGTCACTTTAAGAAAGTCACGTTTGGATAGTTTGTTTGAAACGTACGTCCCTCAACACGAGGCAAGACAGACAGACAGACAGCCAGTGTGTGTGTGTGTGTGTGTGTGTGTGTGTGTGTGTGTGTGTGTGTGTGTGTTCTTGTTACCTTCCTCTAATGGGTCAATTTATAGACAACTCACATTTCTTTACTTATGATTGGTCGAGGGGCGGGACAGAAGACGAGAGCAAGAGAGAGTAGCGAGAGAAGCGGGGTGAACGTGAGCTCTCCTCACACCGCTGCGGTGTGTTTCCTGTCTGAGTAGCCATGAGCTAAATAACTGATTAAGTGTTGGATAAAGTGAACGTTAGTAAGGTGCTAAACAGCTACCAGCTTTATTTAGTATATGTTTGTTTGAAAGTTAACTGTAACCTCCTCGGCTACTGCTTGTTAGCCCGAATGCTAATTCTGTGCTAGCGCATGTACGGACAGTGCGTCGCGGGAGCGGACTGATTCAGAGGGAGACCCGCTGTTTCCCTCCTTTTTTACCTTTCTGTTTTGTTCATTGCCACGGCTGAGAGTGGCTGGTGACATTGCTTTATGGCCACTGAGATGAGGTGCAGACTTTTCTTCCTCCACTGACAGAGAGTGGAGTTTTCTTCAGCACGGCTGAACCGGGTTTGGACCAGTCCGCCAACCTTCATTACATCGAACTCAATTCAGGCCTGCAACAGGGTTTTGTTTATTTTCATGCCGGCTTTTGTTATTTTTGTGTGGGCCCACATTAAAGTGTTAAGAGTGTATTAATGTGTTCTAACGGATTTAAGCACTTAAAGTGAACTAGTAATAGCTGGTTATTTCTTCTGGTCAGTTTAAATAGTCCCATGGTATTTTGATGATCCACTAGATAAGTATCATAGGAGTGTTGGTATGGTGGCTCAAGAGGGCCATTAGTCAGGTCTAAAGGGTACTTGCCTATCATTTAATTTACCTCGTGGTATTTTTACTCTAAATGAGTGCTGAGAGTGTGTTTTGTTTTCTTTCATTTACTAAAAAGTAAATACATTGATAATTGTCAATAAATACTTTAAAATGCATATTCACCTCTTGGTTGGTTTAATAAATAAGCATATTTAATAAATAAGCATATTAAATTTAAACATTTACAGTGTTTAAAGGTAAAACATGTCATCACACTAGAGTCATTTAATTAATTTTGTGTACGAGGAAGCACGGTAAGGTAGGTTTAATTACAGGACATGTAAACTTAAAGGAGCAATAATAGTAATAAGATTAACGAGAGTTCTAAGAGAAGAACCCAGGGCGCTGTATCTCCGACTAGTTGATACATAGGAAGCGCTACACACGAAACAAATATAAATGGTTATTAGAAATGTGCAAAACATTAGCTTATCCTTGCTAAATAACCCATAGCATTTGCTTGAGGTTCTGTACACACACACTTCTGTCCCGCCCCTCGACCAATCATAATTAAAGACGTGAGGTGTCTCTAAATTGACCCATTAGAGGAAGGTAACAAGAACACACACACACACACACACACACACTCGTACAATCACAAACGCATACACACTGTGCACATGTGTGCATGCATTTGTGTCATCCCCCCCCCCTCTCTCTCTGGCCCTGGTCTCTGACTCTGTCCACTGTCATGTCTGTCTCATAAAATAATTTAAAGGCCAAAAAAGCCAATTTTAGAAAAGCATATTTTTTCAATCTGATCCCATAGATTAGATTTTTTACCTTGTTCATCCAGTAGCACTGCCCCCTGCTGGCCAGATTAGATGCTGGTTGAAAGCACTTCCACATTGTCCACATGATGCATCAAACGACTCTATTACAGTCTGTGATGTTATTCTTTAATAGTGAAAAATGTTTGTTTGTTTATTGTCTGCAGAAGAATACCATTCCTTGTTTTCTTGTGCTTTAGGCTCCATCTCTGTGAACAGTCGCAGCATGCCCTTCAGCTCCCCAGAGGGCAGTGAAATCCTGGATCTGGACAGCGTCATGTACCTGGGCGGGCTGCCCGAGTCCAAGTCTGACCTCATCCTGCCGCCTGAAGTGTGGACAGCGCTGCTGAACTACGGCTACGTGGGCTGCGTACGAGACCTCTTCATCGATGGCAAGAGCCGCGACGTCCGCCGCCTGGCTGAAATCCAGAGCGCTTTCGGCGTCAGCAGTTTCTGCACACGCGAACTACAAAAGCGGTGCAGCAGCGCCCCCTGTGGCAACGCAGGTCTGTGCAAAGAGGGCTGGAACCGCTACATATGTGACTGCACCGGCACTGGATTCCTGGGTACCAACTGTGAGATAGGTAAGTAGGGAGGTGTTGGAGAAGAGAATGTTTGTAATGATCGATTGTCAAAGGGATGAAGTCGTTTAAATCAAGACCTGAAGGTGTTTTTTTTCTACATTAAAATATGTTAGAGGCTCTGATCTGCTTTCTGTGGATACAGTTTGCACTAGGTCTAAACTGTTTCTCTCACAATTCACAAAATGAATTACACTCATCCTTAACAAACCAAACTTTTAAAAAAAGTTTTTTTGTGTTACTGTAACACGTAAATGGAAACGATTGGGTTTTTATGTAGGGGACCAACACCAACAAATCCATCATTTTGAGGAGGAGAACATGGTTTTCACAGTGATTTACTACATGAAATAAAAGGTTTTTGGGTGGTTAGTGCCCACGCCCCGTGTGTGGAGGCTGCAGTCCTCTGGGCGGGCGGCTCCGGGTTCGAATCCGACCTGTGGCTCCTTTCCCATACGTCATTTTCTGGCTCTGTACACTGTCCTATCTCTACTATAAAGGGACATCAAGCTCAAAAATATATGTTAAAAAGAAAAGTTTTTTAATTGAAACCCCTTACTAACATCAGGTGATTGTCGTTAGCGCAGTATTTGAGGCCACTGGCTGTCATCACTAGGATCAATCTTTATTAGCGCTGCATCTAGAGGTGATTCTGGGAAGCGTCCTTTCTTCTTTGTTTTTCATTGTTTACAGTCATCTACTGTACCAACTTGTGAAATAAGGGTTGGAGTTGGGAGTGGTCATCTGTCAGCTGCACTTAACTCCAGTTATCTGTTCATTGTTATTAAATGCTAACTATTGTAAAATGATAGTGACAGGTTTGTGATGCGATCATGGCCCATGCCTTCTGCTTCCTTTTTCTTTTTCCACACTGACTTTTCTTTTTCCAGCATTTAATCAATAACTGCTAGAAGCCAATACTACACCGTACTAATACTCCGTCTATAAATGGAAAATAGAACGCGCCCTGCAGGAAAATATGTGTTTCTACATCTCTGTGCACAATATGTTCAAAGCAGTGCATCCAACAGATGTCTTCATCAAACTGTACCACCCCCTAAAAAGTCTGTTTGAACTCCAGGTTATCACCCTTTGAAATGTTAAATGTGGATACCAATGCAAAGCAGTGTGTTCTAATTTAAAGTAGAAGTAGAGATATATATAACTTTTTGTACACTCCAGTCAACAAGGCAGAGAGTTAAAACAAGTACACATACATTCAAACAAAATGAGCATTTCTACACATTTGACAGCGCGCTGCCTCGTGTCTGACACAACCAAACAGCTGCTGTATAGTAGGGGAAGTGCTCCTCAGGGAGGCTGCTGTGTGTGAACCAAATGCCACCCAAGGCAGGGTGACATTAGGGTCTGCTGGTTGGGATGCTGTGGGGGGGGGGATGCATGCAAGCATACGCAGTGTGGCAGAGCAGCCAGGCCTACCGCTGCCATCTGTGCCAGTCACGCTAAAACCCAGGTGGCTCGTATGCAACAGTGATGGGAGGCGAGCCAGTCAAATGGCTCCACGTACGTCTGATTCATCCCAATTAGTTGCAGACGCCTCGCTTCACGGTGTGCCTTTGCACGTCGGGCGGAGGGCTGAGTGAGCCATGACAGTATGCGATTTTTGAGGGACAAGGAGGGTAATGAGGGAAGGAGAGATTGGATTCAAATCAGGACAGTGGAGGTAGAGGGACGTCTCTATTCTGGAGGCTGATATTTTGAACAGTTTCCTCTTCAGGTGCTGAGATGACAGGGCAGTTTTAATGACACTCTTCTGCCATCTTGTGGTGCTTTATGTTATCGCAGGGACTACAGATGTGTCTTTTCTAATAACCAGCCTTGTACAGTATTTCTGTGGGGCAATCTACTGAGTGAAGAGATTAACAGAGTGTAAGGACAATCAATGTTATCGACGAGGGGAAGAAAACCCCCGGGGGGTATTACATGATGCCTGTAAGCCTCAGAAGATGAAAAGCATTCATGCTGTTGGGAGCTGGTGTTAAGATGATAATTCACATTCATGCTATGGATTGTTTCCTGATCGATAGATGAACGCTGCATTGGGAATGCATCACATCTTTATGTAAGTGGAGCTTCTCTTATAGAAGACGAGCTGTGTTTTCCAGAGCAGCTAGCACCGTTAGCCTCATTTTCAGAATCAGAATCAGAATCAGAATCAGAATCAGAATCGAGGTTTATTGCCAAGTACATTTACACATACAAGGAATTTGACTTGGTGTATTGGTGCTAAACAATTAACAAGGAAATAAAACAGAACTAGCAACAACTTAAATAATACAGTATAAGAAGATATTACAATGTATAAAATAGAATTAAAAATATAAAAAACAAGAAACACCAAATGTACAAAAGGTGTAATGTAGGAGCTGTGCAGTGCAATCTTAGTGTGAAAAATCAGCATTCTCTAAAAAAAAAAAAAAAAAAAAAAAGCTCCCCTGTGACAGTGACTCATGTTAGCCCATGGTGACACATCTCGTCCCACGCTGCAGAATAAGCGCAGCACTCAGAGGGATCTGTCATATTTACACAGCAGTCTATTCCTGGCATGGCCGAGAGAAACCGCCGTTTCACCTGCTGTGAGTAAGACTGTCTCAGAAAGCGATTGCACTTTTTTTTTTTTTTTGTTGACATTTTTCTTACTTGAGGAAGGTGAGATATTGGATTAGTTTTAAATATTTCTTGCGGTTACCTTTTTTTCATTTTAAGAAATGTTTTCATTTTGTGCTTTGGGAGGTCGATTCGTCATCTGATGAGAAGTTATCGGGGCTCCAAGAAGTTTCCTGACAAATAATCACTTTACTGATATGAATGCAAAATAAAATATCTGCACAGCATGACGTGGCAAAGCACATAATATTATAATGTAAAAACATTACATGAGACCATGTCTTTAGGATGATATCTTTTCTACAATACTCATCAAACATTCAGTCTCCCTAACATGCCTGACAAGCTCAGCAGTGATTGATTTTTTTATCTTTTGATGGATGTGATAAGCTCTCGGTTTACAGTCACAGCTTTGATCATCAGTCAAAGTGAACCTTCCTCTGATCTCATGAAGTAAATATGACAGACAAACAAACACCTCTTTGACAAATGAGGAATTCTCTTCTTTTTTTTTTTCTTGGTACATCTGAAATGGTTTAAAGGCTTATCTATGCTTCTTGGATTATTTGATCACAAGTAAATGTCTCTAAGTATGCTTCTCCAAATGTGGGATTGACCACGTGTTGTTGGATCATCCTACCGCTGAATGGAAATAATAAAAAACATTGATTAAAATGGTCATGCAGACCCGCAGCAGAGAGGGAGAGCATTGAATACAGACAGAACTTTAGATGTGATTTGTTTTTTTGGCAATGTAAATAGATTTGAGTTCTTAAGAGGCCACAATAACATCTGTATTTATAATCTACAAATTGTAGAACCTGTTTTTAATGTATCACCACTGTCACCATATCCCCAGGAAGTACCTTCATGTAGCTGATGGACAAGGGGTCAGCTTGCGTTCCCCGTGTACGGAGGCGGTTGTCCTCAAAGCGGTTGGCCCAGGTTCCAATTCAAGCTGTGGCTCTTTTCCCACATATCACTCCCCACCCTCTCTCTCTCTCTCTCTCTCTGTTAACGACTCTATCCACTGTCCTTTTGCCAATAAATGCAGAAAAAGCAGCATTCCACAATAAAAGCACAGAGACGTCATTTTGGCTCACCGATCAATATGCTTGATAAGCGCACCAAACGCCACATAAGACACCAATGTGGCATTCAGATCTCATTGCATCCTCAATGTGTACTAACTGTATTCATAACTGACTCAGCAGTGACACATGAGACATTAAAGCCCGGTTTACACTTAATCTAAAAGAGAAACATGTAAACACTTTTTACACTTTCATACAGACAGACTTTGTTCTCTGGTAAGAGAAGGTCAGTTATAATCTGTCAGGTTTTAAACTGAAGAGGTGTAAAGATATGAGATGAGAATATTTCCCAGAGGTCATCCAGACACAACATTGACAGTTTGACTGATGTCGATACTGTGCTGTCATATCCAGTAAACCTCTATGTTCTGTGTTCATCTTTACACTCTGTGATGTCTCACACTCTTCTGCCCTCTTCCCTCCGTCCCATCCAGAGGCGACGGTGCTGAGTTACGACGGCAGCATGTACCTCAAGATCATCATGCCGGTCACCATGCACACTGAGGCGGAGGACGTGGCGCTGCGCTTCATGTCTCAGCGGGCGTACGGCCTGCTCATGGCCACCACCTCCAAGGAGTCAGCGGACACCCTGCGGCTGGAGCTGGACGGAGGCCGCATCAAGCTCACTGTGAACCTGGGTAGGCCCGTACAGTCCATAGTGAATGTCCCCCCCGCTAACCTCCCCCCTCCCATCCCTCGTCTGCTCATCTCCACTCAAAGGACACAGAAGGGTGGTTTGACATTTTGATTTCCACTCCATTGTTATTTGCTCATTGTCAGAGAGTTAGGTGGGGGAAAAGCTTCTGAATGTGTCCCTCAGAGATGTTTGATTTGTTCTTTACAGTCAAACTTATCGCTAAAAGGCTAAATGCAGAACTGACCATTTGTTTAATTATGTTATTTAAAAAGTGCTCAAAGTCATTTTGTTTAAAAGTAATGAGGTACTAAAACAGAAACTTTTCTGCCACAAACTTTAAAAGTGATATCTGCAGGAAGACTAGAAGTTAAATATTAGTCATCCCCCCGACCTGTTGGAAGCCACCCTGCAGTCAAACCTCGCTCCATTTTATTTGACCCCTCTTCTGCCCTCATCCCCATTTCTTGGTCCCCTGTGAAGCCTCATACCACCTCCTTATGTTAAAAAAAAGTTCCATCTCAAACAGTATACCTGGCCCTGGATCCTGAGCCTCAACCCACCAGCCTGTCTCTAAATCTTTGAAAGTGGCTCTACCCCTGTTTTGCTCCTCCTCATGGTCCTGCTATCGTTCTTTTGTTCTGTAGCTATCTGAGGGGCTGTTATGCTCAGTTTTGCCAAATCAAAAGATATGAATTCTCACTGTAAGTTATCATAGATTAGTTAAAGAACAAATACTCGGAGGTCTTAAAGGAACGCTAAATGTGATGAAGGTCGGTGAAATAGTGGCAGAGGGTTTACAGAGAGGGGTGACTGCTTTCTCTGTAATATCCGGCTGCAGGATTGACAACATTTTGATTTAGTTAAATTCAATGGCAAGAGTGTTTATTGCTCCAGGAAGTTAGTAATGACCTTCTATCTCTTGAAGTTTGTGTTTGCATTGCAAATAAGAAGCTTCAGGTTTTAAATTAAAGCTAATTTTAAGTTCTTTAAACCTGCATTCTACATAACGGCCACCAGGGGGAGTCAAATTGTATTAAACCAGATGGGGAAATAATCCCATTTTGCAGGGGATATATTCCCTTAGTTATCATTTTCTAAATTAATTTGTGGCCTCAGCTGCTAGTTTGAATTAGTCATCAATACAGCATGATGTGAGCTTTGTAGATCTTGCTCCCTTATGGATGAAAGACTTGGATGTCAATGCTTTATAACATAGATACTTGGGAGTCACAGAAAGATGGTCCAAATGTTCCATTCTTGGAAAGTTTTAAATACCTCATATGTTTTTGATTTTTAATGATCAGTGGTATCAAAACGGACCCGAATCCTTCTTATAAGACGAGTGTGTAGAAGATGAATGACTCAGCGTGTGTCCATGCTGGTGTCCAAATATGGTGTCTTCTGGGAATCTAAGAAGCAAGACGGTGCTGGGAACAAAGGAGGAGCATTGCAGAGGTGCACCCTGGGATATGGGAGTCGAAGCCACAGAGACAGGCAAACATTGGTGGGATAAACGAAGGTGGCAACTCTGCTCTCTCTCTCTCTTTCCTTCTGCTTCTCTCTTCTTCTGTCCCCTGATACGCATTCTCACCAGGCCAGCTTTCATACGATGGAACTTTTCATCCCTTCAATGGCCTGTATGTCTGCGGCCCTCGGATCAAACAGCCAGAGAGACCGGCTCACAGCTTGTAGTTGTCTGAGGTTTGCGCGCACATTTTCTAACCCGCTCACCACATGCAGCCCACAGCTTGACCTCCTCGCAGTCCCCAAAACAACGCACCTGCAGCTAATCAGCGACGACTCTAATTTGCAATCACAATGCCATCCCAGAAAAGTCACACAGTTGACTGACACTGTTGCTCCGCTCAGGATTTTCAAAGAGCTTTTTTGCGGAGGGAAATTGATTAACCCACAATCAGCAGGGGGTGCTCAATATCTGTTAAGGCTTTAATCCTTGTTAAGATAATTACAAGCCTTGCTAATTAGTCACCACATAAAAAGCTATAATTAGACACATTTAGCCTAAATGATATTTATTACTAATAGATAATGATGATAACCTGCTAAATATGCAAATTGTCAGATGAAGCAAAGTATGTCACTCGAGCGCCATTAGCTGAAAACCTGCTTGATGCTGGTTAGGCAGCATTAGGCTTTATACACAGCCAATTAAAAAACACCTTCCACAACTCTCATGTTGGGAAAAATGTGGCTTTTCAGCCCAATGATGATTTACTAGATGAAATACAGCTGATTAAACACACTCCTTAATGGCCTCCCCTTCCTCTCTACACGGTGATGCTGGTCCCTGGCTGTTTGTGTCCACTATTCTGTAGCGGTTGACAGCTCGAGACCACAACCCAACCACTCTGCCACGTGCACACGCCTTTTACAGCCACTAGATGGAGCAAAAATGACAAATTGGGACTCAAACTTAACTGTTACTTTAACACTGCTTTAAAACAAGCATTTTCCAGCTGAAGGACAATCACGCCACCGCTCTGACAACACAACACTTTTTGCTGTGTTTTGTAGAAAGTGAAGCCTGCATTGTTGTCGTCAGTGTGCACAAGGCGTGAGGTGGCTGGGATGTGCAGATCACCCTTTCTTGTCATTTACTGTCGGGGTTTGTGTTTGCCCAAAGTGCTGCAGAAGGGAAGAGCATTTGGTTTTGAAAAAAGGCGACACTGAAAGTTAAAGTATCGCCCACTTTAGTGCTTGCGCGACACTGCAAACAAACAGTGTGCGGGCATTATGGATTTAAGACGTTTATTTTCATCGAGGAAGAACGACCTCGAGTTGTTTCCACTCACTAATTCCTGCAGAACAAGTTTCTGCAGTTTAAAGACTCGATGTCACTCCTTCTGAAGTGAGTCATTTATTCATGATGTTTGCAAGTATTTCATATTTTATACAGTGTTGTTAGGATTTAAAAAGGAAACAAACACTAACTTTCAGCATAAATTATTGAGCATTATAGTTTTATCACATGGTAGGTTAAATCTTTATAAATCTGTAGTTCATAACAGCACTGCACAAAGATAGCCTAACCCTAACTTTATAATTCAGAGGACAGGATTAGCATTTTGATGCTGTTTTTTATTTTCAAATGCAAATAATGAAGGAATCCGTGTTGATTATTAGCATAGATGTATGATGGATATGTCAGCATTGCATTGAATGAAAAGAGCGCACATTGTCAGTCTTGCCTTCTGCCGTGCTTTTTGGGTTTTCTGGGTGGAAGGAGGGATGGATGATGGGATTGAAGGAGGAAAAGGGTGATCCTGACTCAGAGTCTGTCCCCGGATGGTGGCCCCAGAGCAATGCTTGGTTGTCTGCAGAATGTACTTTGAAGGATGTAAAATGTTTTTCTCTCTCTTTTACCTCTTCTTTCTCTTTCTTTCTTTTTTCTTTCTTTCTCTCTTTTTCTTTTAATTTTAATCTCACCATTTCGCTCTCTCTCCCGCCAGATTGTATCAGGATAGACTGTAGCCTCAGTAAGTGGTTCTATGCATTTTTCTGACTTTAATGTATCTGTATTTCTCATCTTGATTCTGTGCAGTTGCCCTTTTCTGCCCTTTCCTGACCTCATCATGAGTGACACCTCCCTCATTACCCACATCTCCTTGCGTCCATATATCCTCGCCCCCTGAATAAGCATCTGTTTAAATCCTGTCTTCCATCACGTCTCTCATTTCTATCTTTCATTTGTATGCATCTTCTCACATCTTCTTCCTGAGCACAATTTAAGTTGTATTGTTCATTTTTTTCCTTAAGTTCTTTTTCTTTGATTTCCCCTCTTTTCTGTCATTATTTAAATAATTGTTCACTTCCGTAATTACCAGGATTCTTCATCCTGCACTCCTCCTCGCTCGCCTGCCACACTCCGCTCTGAAATTATTTAATTCCCTCTCCCCCTGCTTATTACCCATTCTATTCATTTTCCTGTCAACCTTCTCCAGAAGGCATTCAGAAAAGGGCAACTTGACACTCCCCTGTTGGATGTTCCTATTTTCTATTATGCAGCGCTGAGCCTCTGCTCCACTCGGCTGCACACACAGGTGTTGCTTGTTTTCAGTGTGGGACAAACTGTAGTTTTGGCCCCCAGAAAGCTAATTGCTTATCCACTGAGAGACGGCACCACCTGGTGCTTGCTTGTTTTCAGAGCAAGTAAATGTTTTCCTGCCCCATGCTGACAGAATGATAGCAAACTGTTATTTCTATCATGGCCACTGACAATTGAACAACCAGTCCACAGGTAAGTGCCGCCAGCCAGAGTGACCAAAGTGGAGAAAACCTGATGTTTGCCTCAATGTCTCGGTGTGAATGTTCCTCCATGTGTATAATGTCTGTGTGATGGTGGAAAAATCAACCAATGCTGCGCTTTGTTTAGCTCTTCATTTTTAACTCGTTTAAATAAGTCTCAGAGCTCCCCAAAATATGTCTTTGAAGTTTCAGCTGTGCAAGCGTTATCCTCATTGTCTTCACATGAACAGGACACAATAAGAAACTTTCTGCCTGATTAATTGAGCAATAAGAAACCTTGTGCACTGCAGTGACCCCCCACATAGTCCCTTTACTTTCAGAAAGCATTACCCTGCAGGAGGGAAAACTTTTTGTGGACTTGTTTAGTCCCTGGTCCCTGCAGCAGGGTCAGCGTCAGAACGCTGCAATGTGCACCTTTTAGGGTCGGATTGGTATGCTTTGCACCCCAACAGAAGGGTAGCAAAAAAGTAGGACGGAATGGATCGGTTGTTTTGGTACCTTTCCCAACTTTTGAGAGTGGGAATGCACCAAATCAAACTTAAATGCTTGATGTAAACAGGGTTAAAGATCCCCTACTCTCAAGGGAAAGTTCCTGCTCTGGAAATCCAGCTCAGTTGAACTAAAGTTGTTCATGCTCTTAGCCATTACTGTATGTGCATCACATTTCTTCATTTAAAAGTCACTTAAAGGCTGTTCCTATCAGACAAAACCTTCAAGATCATCTTCAAGGCATGGCAGTGGTCTCAGCCCAGGACAAATTACTTACCTTTTTTAAATATAAATCTGTGCAAACACTGGCATGACATGTAACCAAATAATGCTTTGAGGTTGTGCATTCCCTGGGTTGACCACTAGATGTCACCCAAGTACTGTAATTGCTGGGCCCTCTCTCTGCAGTGCAGAAGAGGCAGAAGCTGAGATTTATTTATTTCTTTTCATGCCACCACAGGGCTCTGAGTCAAATCACAGTCAGCCTGCTAGAACTGACTTCAAGTCTACTTGATTTAAAATTGATGTTGAGCCGAGGTCAGAACAGATGTGTAAGCTTTAAGGTGAGAGATTTTGCAATATTTCCCAGAATCCACGCTCTGCAAGTCTGTCTTTATTCTTCTTTTATGGAAAAAAAAACCTCTTTGGTGATTTTTATATGCGGTCGCTGTCTTTAAATATTGATGCGTTTATTCACCGTTGCTGCTGGAGCAATAATCTCTCAGTCCTGGAACAACTTGGGTTTCACTAGTTCAGTTTTGTGAGGAATATTTTATTTAACCTTTACATATTTTTTTATTTTTCTGGGTTAACTGAGCACCCTTGTACAGCTGTGGCCATCTTCACGGCCACTCAGTCACACACAGCACCTTATAAAAGACTGTGTGTGTGTGTGTGTGTGTGTGTGTGTGTGTGTGTGTGTGTGTGTGTGGGGGCGTATAGAGAAGAGGGGTTGCTTTTGTGTGGACGAGAGTAAAGAACGAGAGAGGAGGAGAGAGAGGGAGCAAACCAGGGCAGGGCTACAGACAACCATTTATTCAATGCCATGACATCTGCCGGTCGATTCCTCCTCCAGAGCCAAGGGCGTACCCATATTTTGGACCAATAGAATATTGCCCTACTACAATTTGAGAAGTCTCATTCACATTATCCTTGCTGTAAAGTTTTACTACATATTTCTAGAAAGCACTGAGTGGGTGAAGGAGAGAGAAATGTGCCTCTGCCCGCTGCTGTTTTTCACAGAGAATCTTTCCTAAATCCTGAGAAATGTTCAATTCAAGCTGTTAGTGCTTCTGTCTTATGTGATTATTCTCATTAATAAATGTATTACATCACTTTTGCTTGTACAACAAATCCTCCAAAGCTGCTGTGTCCTTGAGACCAAACCACCTTGGCAAAAGCTGTGTTCAGTCACCAAAGCCTAAAGTACTAAAAAAAAAACTTTGCTTTTAAAATCGAGGCCAATGCAGAAATTCCAGAAAAGATGCATTATTTCTAATGGCATGCATAAGGCACATTATAAGTAAGTCTATGAGACAATAACTCCACGTCTGTTGTGGATTACCCCCCCTCTTCGCCTTGCCGGATTCCAACAAGATGGACATTCTGGTGGCGGCTACGACCCTCCAAGTCCAAACCCTTTTCCTTCAAACTTAACACATCTGACTTTAGGTGTTTCATCGTATTTTCCAGGGATGACAGATGAGCGCCATTCTGTAGCAGAGCACTCCAGGTCAATACATACTTTGTAATTTGCGATTTAGCAGACTGTAGGGAGCTAACGGTAGCATTCAGCTCTTGGTGCATGGATGTTATTTCTTGACTGAGCAGCTGTTGTGGTATCCATCTTTTTGGCCAACGTTTCAATTGCTGTCATAATCTTCTCCATCTAAGTTGGGGAAATGGTATCCACTTCACCCCTTTCCCTTTGCTTGTAGCAATGTTAGCCGTTGCACTAGCTTGAGCTCTTCTTTGGCTTTTAGGCTTATCTTGATTAGCCATGGTCAAAAGATGAATTTGACAGGTTTTAAAAATTGCGAAGAAAATTTGGAGTAATTTGGGGTATTTGAGAAAAAAGGGTATAACACATGCGAGAATAGATGTACATATGAAAGTTGGACCTCACATGTCGAACGCCAGACCAGAAGACCAGAGTTTTCTAGTCACAGTTGGTAGTTTTAATTATTCTCCAATGGCTTATAATGTTTAAATAGTAGATTATGGTCATGTTTAGAGGAAGATGGACTTCAAAGGGGAGTATCCTTTAGGTTTTTACTTCCTGTTATTGACCATTGTATATGCACCATGTCTGCCCAATATGGTCACTTCTTGGTCCAAATGGGTGTGGCTAAAGTCCCAACCTTTCAGGCTTCAAACCACAAGATTATACACCAATGGGTGACTCGCAGTCTACTTCTCCTACAGTCTGCGCTGAACCTTCAGTTCCAGTATGTATAGATTTATATTCTGACTGCGCACAGACCTAAAAGCCACTGGGTGTTGGAATAAAATATTGAACACTGCCAATCCCTGTTCCTTTTAATAAAGGAGAAATCAAAGTGTAATCTCTTGAGATAGAAGCCTTTGAGCCAAATGGCTTGTATGTACACATGGCTACTGTTGATTTATCCAGGTCGATTTGTCTCCTGGAGAAAAAAGGGGCATGGGAATATACAGTACTGTGTATAGCAATAACAGAAAAGCAGGATGCATCTTGTTGGAATCCATACTCGAGATGTTAGAAGATCTTGAGAATCTCTGAAAAACCAAACCACAACCTTTAACAAATCGCAACGCTGAATAGACCTTCTGTGATTTCCAAAACATTTAAATGCATTAGAGCTTGCACTAAAAACGTTAATAATGATTAAATGAACAATTGGAACAGGAACTTCCAAAAGTCATGAATTAAAGAAACATGAGAACCCACTATCTTGGGAGTGGCTAAATAGTATGCCAATAATAGAAATGCATACTTCTTTGTAGCTACAACGGCAAAAGTACTTTTGTTGACTTCCTATTGGTTTTTGATCTTTAAATTCCTGGACATTGAATTGCTTTGTATGTGCTAAAGAAGTAAAGTATCAGCCTTGTGGTTATCTTATAGTCCATTGTGACCCTGTTTTCCTACCTTACTACAGCTGGATATGAGCTGTGAAAGCGAACCGTAGCCCTCAGCTGCAGCCGGGTCAGGGTGTCAAACTGATGATATCTGTTTGGAAGGTGGCTTTTCAGCAGCCAGCAGCACCTTCTCCTGACGTAAGACGAGACGAGATTAGGCATGACATATGGGCAGCATGTGGGGCGCGAGCACGTCGTCTGCTAATGTCGTACCCTTTGGCCTATCCACCTGTGAGCACTCAATCCGGACCACACAGAGACACAGAGACACAGTGTGTGTGTCAATGGAAAAGATAAAGTCTAACCGATATCTGGGCTAATGTTGAGTTCTGTTTTCTTTATTTAGAAGAATGGAGATGTAACCAAATATACTCATTGATTCTGTCTTGAACATGTTATTGTGCTCTTGACTAATGGGTCAAGAGCATTGTTCATTGCTGCTTGTAAACACAACATTCAAACTGGGCCCCTCCTCCTGGGATCATCGTCCCCAGAAGTGCACATTCACAGAGTCTTTCAGGGCCCGAAGCATAATTTAATTGGGGCCCCTCCAACCAGCGTTTATCACCATTATTTCTGCCAGTGTCCCAACGCGCACTCGTCTTCCTCTTTTTTCCTCTTT